ACAGTGCCAAAATAGGTTACGTCAGCAGAATAAAATCTAGCAAGATAAACAACACAATCCATAACTCCAACATAGTCAAGGTCTCTTTAACAAATGAACATTTATTAAAGAGATCAGAATCTCGATCAGAAGTGCTTCAAAAATATAGTCACCACAACATTGCTGAGTTTAAAGGAATTTTCTGTCGTGAATATCGAACTCGTTCACAACAGGAGGCATTCAATGAGCTACAAAGTAAAATACAAAAACTTAACGACGAACTATATGCTGCGGATGTACTTGACAAATCATTTCGGAATGTTATCCACAAGCGTACCGGAGAAATCTGCTCCATTGATGTTCAAAAATCAAATGAACTACATAAATATGTCTTCGCCTCCCCAGCTAGCACCCTTGCACCGCACCGCAAACGTCTTCTCACAACCGTGCAAATTGCAACTACATAATATAAACCCAATCCCACAAACCAAAACAAAACATAAACAACATTCGCCAAATAACTAATTATAAGACCTGGAGTCACAGGCTACTTTGCCTCGTTTAAAATTACCTTCGATAAACTTCTTCCGCTTCTGGGCAAGTAACTCATGCTCATTAAACAGCGAATTTGTTTTTGAAAACGATTCAATACTTCTAGGTTGTATGTATCGCCCAATAGATAAAAACGATGACACGCTCACTCAGATTCTTGCCTCTATTAAAGCAGCGCAACAGATATTGCCAAAATTAAAGTGTTCAACAATGCTTTTGTATGATGATTTTAAATTTAGCTACACCAGTTACAAATCATGCAATGTTGGTGGTGGTAAAGAAACAACCGCTCATGTAACTGAACAACGTCCCGGTAAAATCAAATTCCAAGAGTGTCTTAAAGACTGCTATTTAACTCAACTAGTAACATTCCCAACATACCGCAATAATATGCTTGCAACTCCAAGTAACACGCTTGATCTCGTCATCACCAATAATCCTTATTGCCTAATCTCAATAAACGAAGGAAATTCGCTTGAATATACACCAATGGGAAAAGCTCACTGTCTTTTAGTCGGTCTTTTGCAGTATAATTCAACAAGAACAAACTAAATATCCTAGTCGCTGACGGCTTATCTGGAGTAAAGCAAATTTCTATGCAATTTCATTACATATAACTTCTAAAAAAATACCAACCAATCTCTCTGTAAACGATCTGTACAGTTGGTTTATTAACGTATACAAAGAAGCTGTAAAACTGCACATTCCATTAACTACGACTCCATTTAAAATTAAGCAAGATCTTTGGGTCACACCAAAAGTATTGGAAGCAATAAAATTAAAACGTACAACTTGGGCAAAATACGTTGCCGCAGGTAAAGATTCGCATGCAAAATTACGTAATAAACATCAGGCCGCATTTTTTACGTTAAAAAATTGGTCCATACCTTGACGACACGTTAAAAAATTGGTCAATACCTTGACGACACTAAATCAATGGGACTTGACGGAGTACATCCTCGTGTTCTAAAAAACGGCGCAAAAGCTTTTGCAATACCTCTTTCACTCATTTTCATGCAATCCTTTCAAACTGGAAATGTCTCAGATCTTTAGCGTAAATCAAATGTTACTACTATTTTCAAAAAAGGAAACAAACTCAAGGCTTGTAATTATAAGCCGGTATCTCTTACCTCTGTACCGTGCAAGGTAATGGAGAGAATTATAAAAGAGAGGATTATGAAACACTGTACACTACACAATCTAATTTCAAAGTCTCAGCATGGATTTGTAAATCACAGAGGTTTTCTTACAAATTTAATTGATTCCCGTAACATTCTCACGGAGTCAGCTTACCGTGGACAAATTGTTGACATAATATTTACAGGCCTTGCCAAAACTTTTGACACAGTATCACACAAAAGACTCCTTCACAAAATTCAGGCCTACGGCATTAGAGGCCAGCTATTCCACTGGATCTCTGCTTGGCTAAGTGAAAGAAAACAACGTGTAGTTATTAGGGAACAAACTTCCTAGTGGAAAAGAGTTACAAGTGGAATCCCTCAAGGATCAGTACTTGGACCACTGCTATTTGTGTTTTTTGTCAATGACTACCCAGATGGCATTAGCAATTATACCAAGTTATACGCCGATGAGAGCAAGATCATAGGAACTATAAATAATAATCAATTATCCTCTGATTATGAAACACTGCAAAAGGACATTGACATAACTGGCTTATGCACTTCAACATCGAGAAGTACAAAGTAATGATGTACTAAAATCTGACAACCTCAAAGTGAAAGCACAAGTAGAAGCAGTAGCTTCGGCTGGAAATCGAATGCATGGTTGCCTCAAAAAGACGTTTCGATGCCGTAGCCTTCAGCTTTGGAAGAAATTGTACCAGCTATACGTTCGACCGCATCTAGAGTTTTGTGTACAAGCCTGGTCTCCACATCTTAAATCAGAAATCGTTCTGCTCGAACGTGTACAAAAACGTGCAACAAAAATTATATCGTCGATTAAACATTTTAATTACGAAAAAAGACTACAACTACTAAGATCTAACCACGCTGGAAGAACGCAGAATCCGCAGTGACCTTATACTGCAATACAAAATTACTCATCAGTTACAAGAATTTAAATTTGACATACCACAAGTAAAGCCTTTTTTTTTTAATTCACGATATAATCTGAGAAGAAGAAAGGCGTGAACTTCCGGTTAAATACACTTCCGCGGTACTCTGCGACAAAAAAAAAAAAAAAAAAAAAAAAAACAGCCGATGTTTAAAACCACAACTGATCAAAAGAAATTCAGAACGTCTGCACTTCTTTACAAACCGAATTACTTACGATGGAACAAATTAGCTCAGAATTTAGTTGATGTACCCACTGTGCACTTTTTTTAAAAACACGTTTAAAATGCTTTTTCCGCTGCAGCAATGTCCATCGCAGCTTAGGAAAACCTGGTGTGCTTCCCTTCATTAATTCAATCAAGAAGTTGTATTGATTGCTTAAATAAATAAAATAAAATAAAAAATTGTTACTTTTTTAATAAATTTTGTAACTTAAAAAAAAAAGAAAAAGAAAGTTAATTTTTTTCAATTTTTATTATGACGTCAACAAAAAAAACTAAAAATGTTAAAGTGTAACAAAAAAAAAAAGCATTAATGGATTTAAAACGTTACGTTGCACCTCAGTGGGCACCGGACCTAAAAAAGACGTCTTTTGAACGTTCAAAAGACGTCCAAAACGTTCAAAATACGTTAAAAAGACGTCTAAAACGTATTAAATATAAGACGTTTAAAAGACGTCTTACTAACGTCCGTGCCCACTGGGACGTTAAAGAAGATTTCATTAATTACCCGTGACTTTTAACAATTTTTTTTTAATTTTTTGATTTAATAAAATTACAACTAAAAGGAATTCAACATAAAAGTTTAAAAATGTTTTAAAACTTTTATGTTTAAAAACTCCAAACAAATGGCTTTAAGATTGATGAAAATTCTGACCCAGGTGTAAAATATTTTTATTAAAGATTATGTCATACAAATCCTTTTTTCTTATATATATATTTTACGAAGAAACAAAATAGTTTCTCAAACCTTAAAGTTTTTAACATTAAAAGAACGATCACAATTTTTCTAAACTCTTTTTAACTGATATAGAGAAAAATTTCATTTGGCGCAATTGAGATAAGGTCAAACTCAAATTTCATTAAGACTTTTACCTTTAAAAAAAAAAGATGAATGTGGTTTTTTTATTAATATAAAAAAAACGTACAGTTAATTACCTATCTACTTCAAATTGCAATGTATTGTATTGGCTAATCGAAATATTAGCCAGTACAAATAATAGAAATTAGCCAGTAGAAAATAATAGTTTTGCTATCTTTTAAATATTAAAAACTGTACTTTTGCAATATAAAATAAAAACATACTCTTGTTTTGTATGGAGCTATCGCCTAACATCTGACGTAATTAAACATTAATACTTTATTAAATAAAGTTAATTAAAACCAAATAAAGAATTTTTATTTAACCGTTGATTTTAATTGGCTTCCAGTAACACGTCAAATACAGCATTAAAAGTTTTTATAACGACTTAATACTGAATCAATAATTTCATCAATGGATATTATTGTAAAAAACGATATTTTAACAAAAATTTTAATTACCAATTATAAATTGTACAGATGACGCAAACTTAGCTCATTACACTTTTTGAAAAACATTCTACGATATTTATGAAACTGTCTTAAAATCAAAATAAATCGAAAACTAAAAAAAACATCTCCAAGGAACCAATAGACTGCAAAAATCTTCAAAAATGAATCAAAAGTTATATATTTAGTTTTTAAAATCAAAATCAATTGAAAGTAAAACCATTACAAAAACAACTACAAAAGTTAATTAAGAAGTTAAAGGAAAAGAAAAAAGAAATAAAAAAAATATATATACATATTATCATCCTCGAACTAAACGGTTTGCAGGAATGTCTAAAAATTGACAAAACGTTATTAAAGTAATTGCACTCAATATGTTAAATCACTAACAACATTACAAAGTATATCTTTATTAGTGGTTTTCCACAATTCTATACTCGGACCTTTTCTTTTACTCATAAATATCGATGGTCTCTATTAAAACATACAACCTGAAATACTTGCAGAAAACACAATTTTTTATTTTTATCTTTGTAATAAAAAAGTTAAATTATTATTTTAGCCTAAAATTTTAAAAAATTTTCCAACTGATTTAAAGAAGAAACTGTCATTAAACATTGATAAAGAAGAAACTGTCAGTAAACATTGATAAAGAAGAAACTGTCAGTAAACATTGATAAAGAAGAAACTGTCAGTAAACATTGATAAAACTTTCCAAAAAAAGTACTCACACTTTATTCTAAAAAAATTATTTCTGAAAAAAGAATCTGATACCATTAAATTACCTTCTTTATTCATTCAAAGTGAAAATTCAAAAAAGGGTAGAAAAAATAAACAATTTATTTTAAAAGAACAAAAACTACGCATTTATATTGACAAAAATAAATAATAACAATAATAAGAAAATAATTACACAATATCTAACCGCATTCTAAAAAATATTTTTAATGTTTGATGTTAAAACGAAAAAAAAACGCACTTATCTCCTCCATAAAACTTGTGTTTTTGATCATCGGAGAAGTGACGGGATCCATGAATTTTTGGTGGGAGTTGGGGGGGGGGGATGTTGAAATATTTTTGTATTTTGTAACTTATTTGTGTCTCCTAAAAAAAAAGATCCTTGTTTCTAAAATATTTTCAGGACTTTCAGACTAAATATTCAGACAAATTTAGTTGTTTAAATTTTTTACGAAAATTGAAACAACTAAATTTGTAAGACTGTTATATAAATCAATTATATAAATCAGTTATATCAATTCAGTTCAGTTATATCAGTTCAACTCAGTTATATCAATCAAAATCAGTTATATAAATCAAAAGCTCTTTAAATATGCTCACGTTTACTCAGTTGTATTTTTTCATTTCTTCATTGTCATTTTAACAAAGTGATAACTAATTCATGTGATTGACTAACGCACGCGAAGCCTCTCCTAAATAAAATAAAAGTAATAAACTTATATCAGCATAACGTATATAAAAGTTCTTGTTTTATTTACAAATGCAAAGAGAAAGTATTTCCTTTTCTTTTTCTTAATCTATATGTAAAAAATAAATTTTACGGAATAAAAATTTTCTAATGCAACCGTCTCTAAAAACTTTTTCCAGATCATGTTGCAGAGCTTGTCTGTGGAACAAAATTGTGTTGAATAATTTCAATTTTTTATGAGAACGGACCTGAAATTATTTTAAAAGAAAGTTAAAAGAGGTCATTTTTTCAATCGGTAATGTACTTTGTATTTTTGAAAGTTTAATATTTCTATTTTTATCTGTAGGGGAGAGCGGGGTTGGTTGTCACACTTTTTACATTTTAGGCTGCTCAGCTTTTAATTTTCATCCAATCAATGCCAAACTTTGCACAAAGCTAGTTTAACTATTTCCAGTAACTATTATAATATTTTTATGACATTGAGTGAAATATTTATTGCTGTAAAATCATTTTTCAAAGACCACTTCTGTGTGACAACTAGCCCCGCTCACGGGGTAGGTTGTCACATGGTGCGGGGTTGATTGTCACATTCGGATTTTGACAAGTTTAGATAAGAATTTAATGTAAAACGAGTACAAATTAATTTCGTTTATGTTTTACTAAGAAAAATAAAAATAAAATACTATAAACTGAAATATATATATTTTAAATATAACACAATTAACAAATTTAGTTTATCACCATAAATGTTTTTAGGTTTGGTTTTTTAAAAATTATTGGATAAAGAACACAATTCACAAATAAACTGTTGTAAGCCTGGTGTGCATTCTTCATGAGACCGTTTTTGGCAAACCTGACATTGAATCCACTATTCTCTTGATCGGCTGTTGGAAAATGATTCAAAACAATAGATGCACTAAATATAAACAATGCACAAACAAAACAACAGACAGTTTTACAAACTAAACAACAGCTAGTTGTTTAGTTTGTAAACAAAACAATAAACAGTTGAACTTCTGCAATCCTTTTTCTATAATTATACTAAACATTGGATCGGAATCTAAAGTTATGCACGTTGAAATAAAAATAATTTAGATTACAGATATTTAGTTAAACAAATATAACACTTTGACTTTAGATTTTTAAATAATATCTTAAACATTAAAATATTCCTCAATAATGCGGAAAATAAACAAAGCCAATAAAAAATCTGCCAGCGGCGTTTAATTTGCAGCGCATGGAGTCGAGGCAAGTGTGACAACCATCCCCATATATTTTGTGACAAGCAACCCCTTCTGAGTAAGTTGCTGGAAAACTGTACATTTACCTAAAAGCGTGAGAATTTCATGATAATTTTTTACGGATTAAGTTACTCAAATGAATAAAGTACTTTATAAATCTACATTCAAAACACAATAAAATAATGTTCGTTTGGTAAAAGAAAATTTCTGAGTAGGCGAAATTTTACTTTTTCATATCAAAAACCTTTAAAAACGAATAACTTTTCTTCTGCGCGCTAAAAAAAGATAAAAATTACTGTAAAAATGTTTTTTTTATATAACATTTCCATTGCATAATTTGAAATTTCTATATCTTATTTACATTTCCTGTAATAAACTTTGTGACAACCAACCCGCGTGACAACCAACCCCGCTCTCCCCTATCAATTTTATGGAAAATATCATTTAAAAGTTCAGTTTATCCATATTGTTTACGTGTACGTCTGAATACATTTAACATAAATGTATTAATATAATATATTTATAAACAAAAGGGCTGTAACTTATTTACTTCACACTGTTATGTTCACAGAGTTATTTAAATAATTAGTATTAATATATGTATCCATTATATATTCATTATGGTATGTAATATATTAAACATTAATTTATGATTAAGAAAGACTATACGAACATCATAGCGCACATAAATAAACATTTATAATCTTGAGTTTAATAGTAGGCCATCTGAAAATAAATATAATGTTTGATACTTAAGTTTGTGTTTGAGCTTGTGTTTGAAAGTTGAGTTTGTGTTTGAGTTTGTAATGTGTTTGATATTAGGCCATCTGTAAGTGCTGTTGAGATTGTAAGTATAAAGTTGAATGAATTTAATATTATTATTGGCACCACAATTGTAGACAGTATAGATCATTCATGGTAGTCTGCAATGCAATTAATTAAGCAGTGTGTGAAGTACCTTATGTGTAACCATTTGAAATCGTAAACCAAAGTAAAAATATTAATAGCATAAACTAATGATAGCAAAATTATATTAAATTTGAAAATAGTTTAAATATAAAATGAATTAACTAATAAAATAACTTTAAAAGGATCTATGCTTTTAAAAATGGATCTATCCTTTTAAATCTATCCTTTTAAATCTATCCTTTTGTTATCCTTTTAAAGTTAAGCCAAAAAACAATATATTAATAGTTTTACTAAGACTTTTATCACAAACTAAAGATTGTAGAGAAGATATTAAAGTTGATTTTTAAAACCCTGAATAAATTTTAACATCAGAATACTAAAAAAACATAAGATTATGCTGAACTAAAACAAGAAAAAGTTAATAAATGAAAAATAATTCAATATTAAATTTTCCGTCTTTTATTTAACAACAAAAAAATGCACTCTTAATTTGGAGACTCTATTTTTGAAAATATCCAATCAACTTCAGTTAAGGATGAAAGGTTGTATGGGTTGTTTGTTGCAAAGCTTAAAAGTAGCTCAAATAATCGCATTATGACCTATGATATAATTTCTTCTTAAAAAGTTATTATAAAAATAATAAAAGTAATAAAAATTAAAATATTTTAGCATAAAAAACTACAAAAAAAATCATTTTACACATTTAACTCTTGTTTTAAAGCGTGTTTAAAAAAAAAAAAATTGAGTTTAAAAAAAATAGTTTTAAAGGAAAATTTGTATTCAAGTTTTAATCCGAAAAAATCTGGTTAGGATCTGGAATAAAATTATTTTACCGTATCCGTCATGTTCTAGACGTGTAATGCTTATCGGGATACTCTTTGCATATCGAAAGTAACCTAATGTGGGCAGTGCCGGTTTAAGGGGCCAGAGCATTTAAGTGAATATTTGAGAGAGATAAATTTAAAAGTAAAATTATTATCGGCCTCTATCCTTGACTTCCTCTCATGTCCTAGAGAATTTTAATCTTTGCATAACAGCGCATGCGACGTATTGCAAACTGGACGTTTTATTTTTTTAACGACTGGAAAGAACTTTTGAGTTCGAACATAATGGTGAAAAAAGAAATTTAAAATACTTGGATACTTTATTCATTGCTCATTCTAATAGGATTATCATTCCGCGGATCAGACGAAAAACTAGGATCGATACGCAACGGAAACTATATTCGATGTATTGAGCTATTAGTAAAATTTGATCCTTTCCTCGCCCAACATTTGATAACTCATGGAAACAAAGGAGAAAATTGTATGTCATCTTATCTAAAAAGATTTGCAAAGAACTCATTCACTTAGCCGCCGAGGTTATGGAATTTATAGGTAATATGATCAACCTTAAGTAACGTTCATCGTTGATTCAACTCCCAATCTGCAAAACGGAAAACCAGTTGAGCGGCTCTTAGCATTTATTCCCATGCATAATTATTTTGCAACTTCCATGGTTAAAATCGTTTTGAAAAAGTTGGATTAGTATGCAATTAACATTCAAAATGGGTGTGGCCAGTCATACGACAATGCTAGTAATATTTCTGGTATCTACTTTGGTTTCCAAGTAAGAATTAAAGAGATCAACGTTCTCATCGAATGGATTCCGTGTGTTGCTCACTATTTGAACTTTGTAGGAGTGAGTGCCGCGGAATCCCACTGAGCTGCTGTTATAAATTGAAAAAGGTTATTCTATTTACAAGGTGATTAAGAATAGTTTAGAAAATCGAATAAAATCATCTTTTATTTGTAGTTGTGCACACTTATTAACAAATATTTTCTATATAGGCGGCTTTTCTTAATATTAACGACAATCAGAAATCAAAATCAAGAGCAAAGGCCTTCGGAATTTTGACCAAAATAAAACAACTTGAGACAGCTATTTTAATAATCATTTGGAATTGATTCATGGAATGATTAACAAAGTTAACAAGAAACTGCAGTTCGTAGTTTAGGTATGGTTGAAGAACTTTACAACTCCTTGGAGCATTACGTGCAGCAAGCTCGCTCTAATTTCAAGCAATTAAAAAAACTAGCTGTGTCTTTGGTCAACACGGATAAATAGGTCTATGTTCAAAGGCTCCCAAGAGTACACAAAAGGCATTACGATGATGAAATTAACAGTTCGGAAACTATAGTGTTTTATGGGCAAACTATAGTGTTTTATGGGCCTTTTGGAGCTTTTTTCATGAACGTCTTTTAGATTTTTCTTTCGTTCAAATAGAAAACCGGGTATTGGATTCCAATCTACCTAAAATCAGCATTTTCAAGCATAAAATGCAGACAAAGGTATTTTAAAGCCTATACTAGTTGCATCGTGTTTTTAATAATAAATAACGCGAGAATCTTGTTTAAATACAAAAGAAAATACATCATAAAGCCATAGTGCAACAATTACAAAGATTTTTTTTATTTTAAACCGCTGTTAAATTTGAATGCTAGGAGGCCAACAGAGGCCAGGAAGCCTAAAGTGCCGGTAGGCCACGAAGTACTTAACCCGGCCCTGAATGTAGGTATAGCTATTTATTAATGACAAATACTAAAATATCTTTGTGAATATATCAAAATGTTTAACAAGAATTTGATTAAATGATAATTTTCAATTTTACAACATCTTTTGCAAATATTATTGCACTTTAACCTATTTGGTACTATGATCTCTAAAATAGAGATAGGATATCATATTACCTTTAAAGATCTTAAAACACACAAGACCAAAAGCTACAAAAACGAAATTTTGTATTATTATTATTTAAAATAACGACTTTTAGTAAACCACAAAAACTATTAAAAGACGTCTAAAAGATGTATTTTTTAAAGAAGTCGAAAATGCAAATTGGTCTAGATTATGGGGCTATAAAGCTTTTTTATAAAAATGTCTTTAAGACATCTTTTAAGAGAAGATCACACTCCTCCTCCGGCTGATCGCCATATAAAGGCTACATACCAAGACCCATGAAGACGAGTTCAGCGCATCATAACCCTCTTTGACGGACTAGAAGTAAGTGAGTTAAGAAAAAACGAAGAGTGTTAGAGTGAAAAACAAGAGAAGTCGAGTTTAAAAGATAGCTTAGAAAGAGCGGACCGATATTGCACTGGTGGTTAGAATGTACAAATTATACATGAATCGGTTATAACAAATCAATGTATTTGATCTTGTGATCAATGTATTTGATATTGTGTAATTCTTTTTTTTACTTTTGTTGGTATTGTGGTTTATCCTCCTCCAGCTAATTGCCATACGGAGGCCACATTACCAAAGGACCGCAAAGACAAGTTCAGCTAATTAATAGCGTCATAACCTGCTCAACGGACCAACAGTAAAGTGAGTTTAGGAAGAATGAAGATATGTTACAGTAAAAGACAGAAGTAGTCGTGTTAGAAAGATAGCATAGAGAAAGCGGACAGGATTGCACTCGATGTTAGGAGGTGCAATTGGTTGAAAACATAACTGTATGTTTTCAACCAATTGCACCTCCTAACATCGAGTGCAATCATTTTAAAAAACATTAAAAAAAAACATATTACATTAATTAGATCACCTAATTAATGTAATATGTCTTTTTAAAATGTTTTTCTGTAAACGTAATGTTGTTTACTTCATCCGATAAGTTAGTCATGTGACTTACGCTTTTATTATCATTGGTTTAGTTATAAAGAAATTGGACAACTGTGTATTTTACGCGGTAAACATTGGAAAACAGTGGTTGTTTCAAAGTTGACCTTTTTTTCAAATGACCATAGAGAACCTTAAAACACAGTTTTTTTGTTATGAATTTTTGAAGTTAAAATAGCTTAGTACTAAAATATCATAAAAATATAAACGACTTGAAATTTTCAAAGTGTGGACATCTGTGGTTTTACCCGTGTGTCTTCATAAATATATATATATATATATATATATATATATATATATATATATATATATATATATATATATATATATATATATATATATATATATATATATATATATATATATATACACATATATATATATACATATATATGTATATATATATATGTGTATATATATATATGTGTATATATATATATATATATATATATATATATATATATATATATATATATATTTTATAAAAAAAAAATTCTTACCCCTCTTTTATTAACCTCCGCCACCCCTCCCCCATCGTTTATTAGATTTGAACTAAAATTCCCACCCTCCTTTTATTACTACCCACCATGCCCTTGTATTAAGGACTCGAAAGTGAGTGAAAATGAAGGTCAAAAATGACAAACAATTTTTGCGTACTTTTGAAGCATGATAATTAGAGATGCAGATATATTTAGTTTACCTATTTTATTAGTTTTAGTTTTAAACTAGCCTATAAATAATAATTAGATGAAACACCTATTGAAAGTATATAGTTTCTTCCATTTTCAATTTTAAAAGTGCTTTAGACACTATTTTAATAATTTACTTTTACTATGAACTAATACTAGTTTTAATAAGTAACAGCATATAAAAAAAATTCAAATATTAGATGGTCTCTTTTAAAAATTTATATTTTTTGCCTGACTTTTAACAGAAATTTGCTCTTAAGATGTCCACTATATATTTTCACTTTAAAAATTTGATATCTTTGTCTTTTGGCAAAAGTGTTTCTTTCAATATAAACTTGATTTTCGATATTCACCAATAATACCTATATCATTAATAACACCTATATCATGGTTTAGGATACCTACATAAATAAGATTATTTTATATTAATAATCAGAAAATCAATGAGAAGACCATAAATGTTTTTAAATCAAAAATTTGTAAAATTAACTATAATTTTTTCATAAATAAATTCTGCATGTAAAAAATCTGATTCAAAGTGTTACTTTTTGCGCCAGATGTCACTGGAATAACTAAACATAATTTAAATAGACATGGTTTTCTAAGCTACTTAGACAAAACAAAGTTTCCAAAACTTTGAAAAGAAAAATATATATTATTTTTTATTTTTAAAAAATTAATTTTTTCTTTTTATAAGAATTTAAAAAGACAGTATTGCTGGAGGTAACAAGAAAATAATACTCCAGGGACAATCATTTGTTAAATATGTGATGTACAACTGCTTTAGTTTTATAGTGTAGTTTAAAAAAAACAACAACGAAGGAGTAAGCATTTACTCCTTAGTTTTTTGTGTGTGTTTTTTTTAACAGTTAGTCATCTTTTTCTTTTTGCTGATACCCGGCTTTCCCTTCCTTAGACAAAAGAATTTAATTTATGATTTAAGTATCAGCCAAAATCCTTGTGATTGCTACACACTAAAAAAAAGGTAGAAATTTCTACTTAAGGTAGGATATGTGATATACCCTTAGTAAGGAGTAATTTTTTACTTTTTAAGGTATAAAATTATACCTTTAAGATAGAAAATTGTATGATAAATCATTGTTTTTAATAAAAAATTTTACCTTAAAAGGTAGAAAATTATACCTTACTAAAGGTATATCACATATCCTACCTTAAGGTAGAAATTTCTACATTTTTTTTTTTTTTAGTGCTTACATTTATCTGACTAATTTTTCTAGCAGAACATGATTTTTGATAAGATTTCAAATATTCCGGTGATAGTTATGCTGTAATTCAAGTTGGTTAACAACGCTTGCAGTTACTATTAATAATAATGTTAATTATAAAAAATATAATACTTTCTTAACATTAATTACAATCGTTTCAAGT